CCTTCCACCCCCGATGCTAACCTCGAAACTCTGCGGTTCGAACGGGGCGCGCCGGCAGTTCTTTTCGTTGGGTCCGGGTGAACAGTCCGCTCCTGCGAGGCGCACCGCGGCGAGCGCCTGCACGCTGGGGGCGTGCTGCGGTTTTCCACTCTGCAAGAGCTGTCATTAGCTGCGCGCTTCCCTCGCTAGACCGAGCCCCAGAGGTCCTCTGGGGAGGTAGGGTCCTCAGGTTTTTCTTTCCAGCCGTGTAAAGAGGAACTGGTGTTGAAACGGAGCGTTGGGTTGTTTTTGACCTTCCCTTGTGTAGACAGCAGAAGTTTGTTCCTGTTTTTTGTGCTTGTCTGGGCAGATCAGCGCGTAGTTCCAGGTTTGTTTTGTACATGCAGAATTTCCAGGAAACTAAACAACTTGGTGGTTTTCCCTGGCCTTAAAAATATTCTAACTGTAAAAAATGATGAATTTTAAAATAAATATTTAAAGCAACATTGGGAATGCGTTCTGTAGTAACAGCCGAATTGGAGTTCTGTTAGGGGTTGAAGTGGCAAGTTGAACAAACAAGGGTTTCCCTCAGAGCTTCGGTCATGTATGGTACCAAAACACGGTTTTATTCTCCATAAATTATGAAGATTTTGTTAGTTTCTGGTATACTTTCTTCCACAAACGAACTTCAGTCTTGACAGTTCATTGTGTTTCAGCATTAACTTTGGCATGGTTATTTCACACTCAACAGGTTTAGGCAAATAGCTGACTGGTATCTCATCCATTTAAAGAATAATTGTGATGAGAGGGAGGTTTGGTTTTTTTGAGTAAGGAATTCTTCATGTTAAAACATAAATATGGAAGAACATACAGATATACTGATCAGCTTGCGATGTATTTAATTAGATTCCAACTCATGAGTTCTTCATTTTCCCTTATGGTGTTATATTACTACATTAGACTTCTCATCTACATTGTGTCCTCAGTCAGAATCATATTTAGGAATAATATGAAACTTGATTATTTAAGCTAGGTCAATGTATAGTTATTAGAATTTGAGTTCGCTCTATACATGCCGATGTACAAATCCTCTTGTAACTTTTGTCCACATATGAATTTAAATGTGCAGTCTTTCTACAAAGTCAATTAAAATTGGTTACATTTTTTTCCTAAGGTATGATTTTTGTTTCTGTTTTGTACCTGTTTAATTTTCCATTTAATTGTGAAGGTGTGGATTCTGTGCTTGTTTCCCAAGTAACCAAACTGTTGGTTTGCAGATTTTTACCAATAGATTTATTTTCACCTAAGAGGTGATACTTTAAAATGCATATCTGTATTGAAGTCAATGTGTTCGGAACCTCATAATCCTTTTCATGAATGCAACACAAAATCAATAAGTAAATGACCTGTAGTAGTGCTGCAGTTGGTGTGACGCTCAAATATG